ACTTCTTTCCTTTTGCCTTTTTGCAGTCACTGTGAGCCTTGCTCAGAGAGGAGAAAGCAGTTGTTTGTACAAGATCCCCAGACCTGTAAATGTTCCTGCAAATTCACAGACTCACGTTGCAAGTCGAGGCAGCTTGAGTTAAACGAGCGCACTTGCAGGTTTGTGTCCTGAAGGATGAAAGAGAAACACCCAAAGAAAGAGAGAGAGAGAGAGAGAGAGAGAAAGAGAGGGAGGGAGCTTGCTTCCTGCTGGCTTCTGGCACCAGTCCTCTGTGATCGCTCCTTTCCTCTGTGCTAAGGGGCTGGGCTCAGAGGCACACCTTGCAATGGGAAAGGGGCAGTGTTTGCCTTGGTCTGCTGTGAGCTTCTCATGTGCTGGCAGGGATTGGATGGGATGCTTCCGCAGGCAGGGGGTGTAGGTCCACCCTTGTGGATTTTGAGTTGCTGTGTTAAGCAGGGAAGGAGCCGCTAACCCCATATACCTCCCAGCATACATACTGCCCATTGGTTGGGGTAGGGAAGGCACACGGCTCCTCTATCTCACGTTGATTAGATGCCCCCTTTTGCATAAGCACTGTATCTCTGTGCACATTTGGAGGGTGACTCCTTCAGACCACTCTGGGGAGAGTGGAAACAGTTCCGGAAATTCTCCCTTCCTCCAAGCCCTCCCACACATACCCCTCGAGCCAGCCTTTCTCCTACTCTCCTACTCCTAAACACCAGAGGGGGGCCTCCCAGCCTGTGTGGTGCACACAGCTCCCTACCTGCCCTAACACTGATGTGAGAGCACGTGAGGCTGTGCCCTGGGACATGGCGCGAGTGTGTCTGCCCACAGCATATGCAAGGCAGGGCCAATGTTTCTGGCAGCTTGTGTGTGGGCCCAGTGTGGTCTGTGCCTACCTGTGCGGTCTCATCAGCCCAGTGAGAGGTTCTCTCTCAGTCACAGCTCTAGCTGAAGACAGACCTGCATAGAAACTGGGAGCCAGACCCTCAGCGGGCACAATTCAGTGGAGCTCTGCTGGTTGACTCCAGTTGAGGATCCTGCTGGTGTGTGGGAAAGGAACCACTAGGGCCCCTCGGTCCAGCCTCTGGCAATAAACTCAAGCCTCACTTTGCAAAGATCCGGTTCCCAGCACAGGGTGTCGGGCGGTTTTTATTGGGGCGCAGAGGGCAAGCAGCTATGAAAATGAAGGCCCTGTGTGGCCAGGGCTTGGAAGATGAAGCAGCTCATTCTCAGCCTGTTGGTAGTTTTATGGTTGATCAGCGTCCGTGAATCACGGCCACTCCTGGGAGTGAGGTGCTCACCCCCAAAAGCATTGTGCCAAACCTTGGGAAGCCCAGACTTCGGGTGCTTCCGGCTTGTGAATGCAGAGGAATTGGGGGGGGGGGAGGTCCTGTAACCTGAGTGGGAGAGTGACCGGTGCTGTGGGCAGAGCAGAGCCAGCCCATCTTGAATTACACAGAGTGAGACCATGAGCTCCCTGCCCTTGACCTTTATCTCCCATCACCTCCTTTCCCCCGCCCAGAAGCAGATGGAAATCATCCCTCCTGAATTTAAGGGTGGGAAATATTCCCAAGTGGAACAAAAAGCCCTTCCTGGCTTGAGGGATTATCAGTTTTTCTTGCCAGTCCCTCCCTGCGGTGGGGAGAGTGGCATGATTAGAGGTTTCCAGAGCTAGTGCGTTGGCCGGGAGCACAGGATGGAGTCACGGAGTGGAGGATTTAGCTGTTTCCAGATTTAAAGCTGGTTAAGCTCAAGTTCCTCCCTCTCTCCCTGCTGGAGTTTCTGAAGTTGAGCCGTACGCGGCAGGGCAAGCTCTCGTTTCTCCCGTTGCTTTCGCAAGCGGCGGCCGCTGTTCTCTGGCACTAACCCCTGCTCGCAGCAGCTCGTGGAATGAGGCACTTTCCTTTCTTCTTCCTGTCTGCATGAGACTGTCTTGGCTGCACCATTTCCAGTGGGAGTCACAGGCAACGAGTGTGTGGGGGGGGTTGTCTCTGCATGGGTGGGTCAGTCCCTCTGCACAAGTTGGTGTATGATTTCCTCAGGGCTCAGATGGGAAGCAGAGTGGATTTGAGAGAGAAGGAACTTTTTGGTGGTAATTTTGCCTCTAACTCGCCCTCCAACCTAAGTGAATCCAGAGGAGCCTGATATGTCTGGGTTGATATTCTCAGTGATTTCCCCTATCTTCTAGTCTATAAAAAATCACTATTGGGGTCTCTGTGGTGCCTTCAGCTTGTCTCCACAGAGCATGCTCAAAAACTTGTCAGCTCCCTCCCTGCCTGCCCCTGTTCTCTCCTTCCCCCCACAAATGTAATCTCTTTTCTCTCTTGCCTCCCTCTCCTCCCCAGCAGATGTGAAAAGCCAAGACGGTGAGCAGTGGAGAAGAATGGGGGACAGCCCTGTTTCTGGAGCCGGATTTCTCGCCTGGATGGAAAAAGAAAGAAAGAAAGAAAACACAAAAACTCTAATCCAAATGAACCCTCTAATGAAGGATCGGTAGAGCACAGCACTTTCAGTATGGACGATGGACTCTGGAAGGAACATTCCCCGAGGCACCTGCCGCACAGGATGTTTTATTTTATTGTTTTTTTTCTTTTCATGCTGCTAAATAAGAGAGCCAGGAAGACTATAAGGGTGTGTTTTATGGGATTCCCATACATACATATACATAGGTATAAATATATATGTACATACATATATATGTGTGTATGTATGTATATATATATATATATATATATTAACCTATTATATGTGTGTGTTCGCAAGTGTGTCTGTGTACACATGCTGAATTTTTTTAACATTGCTAATGTTATTGGTGTCTTCACTGGATATATTCAACTGCTGTGGACACAAGCGGGCTACTTGGGGCATAAGAAACAAGCTGAGACTGGACTGTAGCAGAAGCGCTGGGGATAGCCTTCTTAACTCTTGACTGACTTGTGCGGCTTCCATTCTTTCTCTGTTGGGTGGGCCGTTCCACGAACCAGCTTCTCCTCCCTAGCAAGGGGAGGAGAGGAACCAGAGAAGATGGGTAGGAGATTCCAAAAAGCGGTGCCTTGGGGCGTTATGTGTCAAAGGTCAAGGAAAGAGATGGGGCACTGACCCTGCTGCATGATTGAGGATTCCTTCTCTCCTCCTTTCCTCCAACCTTCACCCTTACTCTCTCACGACCTGCCTTGCTGGGGGATGTCAGTGTACGTTTTGCGTTGAGTTGACTTGCTGTAGAAACTCTACCAAGAGTACAGCCTGGCCTTAAGGATGGTGGGCAGCTGAGGCACGAACCGTTCCCTGTGAGGAAGTATCACAGTACAAGAATCTATCTTTCTCGCCCTGGTGGCTGTATAACAACAGGAGACTCACAGGGCCCTGAAGCAAGAATGGGGGCTTGCGCAAAGCTGGGCAGCCATTTCACACTGCTCGGTTCTTGAACAAGTGCCGCCACTGACAAGCATCCAAGATGCTGGTGGAACACTTCTGCAAAGGGATATTAATCAAGAGTATATACACAGTAGGGGTGTGTCTGTGTGTGTCTGTATATCTAATTATCTGTACTTATTTTATATATACAGCCAAGATACTCAAAATTACTTAGCGATTTGGGGTGCTTTCTGAGGCCTGATTTTTCACCTGTTCCCAAAATATCAGGCTTAAGGAGCATCAAATTGGGTACCCATCACGTCAAATCACTGCTTTTTTGAAAATCTTGGCCATCTCTCTCCTGAGCTGTAATAGGCGCCAGTATACACACACACCCACACACCAATGAGTGCTTGTATGTCTGCGTGGAAATATATTACCAGCTCTGTGATTAAAAAACAGTAATCAAAAGGATACTTGGTTTGTGTCAGAATGCTGCCAGCCACCACCTTCAACTGAACTTCCAACGCTTAATAATGTGCCAAATGCAAGCGTCCCAAAAGACAAGCCAGTCTAAAACCAGACTCACCACAAGTGACTACTAACCACTAGGAATTCCCCAGCCAACTGATGGCTTTCAGGAGGAGGAAAACACGCGGGTACGTGCCTGCATCCATCATGTTTATACTCACGCTGCATCATGCTCAAGACAGAGCCTTCGGAGGCGGGAAGAGAAAGTGTTTTATATACTTATTTAATATCCCTTTTTAAATTAGAAATTAAACAAATAATTTAATTAAGAGTAGGGATTTTTCAGTATTCCTTGTTAATATTTAATTTCAACTATTTATAAACCATACCTCCTTTTTTTAACTGATTTATGTATAAGTTTAACCCTTCTATGCCCCAACCCATCTCTCCCCAATTGTTGGCAGACTCAGTAGCATGTTATAAGTAGTAATTTAATTGAGTTTCTCTTAACACCCACCCCTACACATTCCTATTGAGACAAGGGTTAGATATACATCTACATACTATATATATATTTGGCTATATGTGTGTGTGTGTGTATATATATATATATATATATGTCTATGTATATGTGTGATTCGGATTAAATAGACACTACGATTTTTTTATATATGTAAAAACAAAAAACAGGAACAATAGAAAATTCTACATCCTGAATTTCTCCTTTTTAATTTTAATATTTGTTATCATTTTATTTATTGGTGCTACTGTTTATCTGTAATAATTGCGGGGGAAAGATATTAACAAATACATATTGTGTCTAGTGAATTTTTTCAAGATATTCCTTAGTACATATTTATTTTTTAAACAAACAAACACAAAAGTACAGATATATCTTAAAAAAACAACTACAATGATGACAAACAAACTTTTTTTGTATTAAAGAATTTAATTCTGATCTTGATTTTCTTTGGCTTCTCCTTCTGCTTTTCATCCTGCTGTGCTTCTAGTGTGTAAACAGACCCTCTAGGGTTGCCTCGAGATTAGAGAGTGCCTGGGATTCAGTGGTTGGACACCATGATTTTGCTCCCAGCTTTAAGAGGAGATTGTGGACTGGTGGATTTGAGCATAGGAGAAGAGGAGTCAGGACGCATGGGTTCTTTTCCTGCCTTTGGTAGGGGAGTGTTTCCTAATGGTTAGAGCACAGAACTGGGACCAGCAGTCTACTCCTAATTGCCACTATTGTCAGGTTTGATGCCCCACTGTTCTGGTAGAGTAGAAAGGCAGGCTAGGTCTACACTAGGGGGCAATGTCGAACTAAGGCATACAACTCCAGCTACATGAATAGTATAGAGGGAGGAAATGTACTTTACATCAAGTTACCATGATGTTTCCACTGCGGGAGAAACTCTACCATTGACTCCCCTTAGGCTTCTCAATCCAGTGAAGTATTGCAGGCAACAAGAATGTGATCAGTGGTTGATTTAGCAGGTCTTTACTAGACCTGCTAAATCAACCCTGGGGTGATAGATTCCCCCAGCACTGATCTTCCAGTAAATAGACAAGGCCATAGAGGTATATGTGACCCTAATGGATCCCAGTGAGCTTACTATCTGAGAAGAGCCATACAAGGTGTAGGAGAGAGGGAGACAATCAGTGTGTACATTTTAATAAACATTTTGTTTCATTGTCTTACATCAACACATAGCTATCAGCAACGGCTGAACCATGCCATTGCCAGCATGTTCTGGCACCTCTCAGTGGTTCACTGTTTCCCTTTGTAAAATGGAGAGAATGATACTGACATCTTTGGTACCTACTGATTAAAAGCTCTTAGTATGTGTGAAGTAATGAGCTAAGCCACCAGCTTTCTTTTCCCATTCTGGCACAGCCTTGGAGGAAGGTGTGACCTCTCAATCCTCTGGTTGTCCTGAAGCTGAGAGCTTTGGAGGCGCCTGACCTCTCCTAGTTGTCACCCGGGTGGGGGACTATTTGATAGGACTCACTAGCCCTGAGGGCATTGACTGAGCCCATTGAACAGCGATCGTGCTGCAGATGGAGGGGGAGGGGGAGTCAGTGTCTTAGGACTGTACTGATTTAATGCACAAGCAGATGGTATGTCCAGCAACGGGATGGATGCTCCTATATTTGTAAGATGGCGAGCATGCCTGCCTGGCTATCACTACAAATGGAAGCCAAGAAAGATGCCCTCTGCAATGCTTCCACTAAGGGCACAGCTGCAAAGACCCTCTGAAAGTGAAATCTCAGCCTGAAGGAACCCAGTTGGCTTCTTCTAAGATGGGGAACTAAAGCCCTTTTCAAGAAGGTGCACAACAAACCCCAGCTGTTGCTCATTCTGCTGTTTATAAGTCACTGGTTGTGCACTGGCCCTGGAGAGGAGGGGCATGGGAGCATGCCCTTAATGTTAAACTTTACTAGGGAATTGGAGAACTTGGTGTCCTGCTGCTTGTTGAGCTGACCAGCTCCGGTAAGATCCCATGTCTTCCCACCAATGTTTTCTGCTTGTTGGAGGTATCTTTTGCGTCTTATCTGAGTCTGGGTGCAAAACAACTGTTGCTGCTGCCTCCAATGAATGCACGCTCAGAGGCTATGCCACTACCAGTGTTTGGCTGAGGAATGAGCCCTTCCCAGACTAGAGACCTCTGAGCAAGTCCTCAGATTCTCCATCAACACTCTCCTGGGTAACTGATTTCAAGGAGTCGCCCCACGTTCTTACCTCATGGTGTTATGTGTAAAAATAGTCACTGATCTAGCAGAGTTGCCAGCTCTCATGACTTTTATAGTGAGTCTCATGCTACGTGGTCTCCTGGAAAGCCCTGTCTCCTGGAGTCATGTGACTAGATGAACTTTGTTTATAATCTTAAATTCCCCCATTAAATCCAGTCTAGCTCTTTTCAGGCTCCAAAATCCCTAGTTTGCCTATCGCATCCTTTCACATCCTACCTCACCTCACTTCTAACCATCTCTCTTGCCTATCATCAGTTTTAAAGCCTTCTCGAGGACAAAAAAGAGTTGTTCAATGTATCCCAGAAACATCTCTTGCTGATTTCCTGTCCTGGTTTTAATGCATTCAAGCCCTCACTTTGTGTTTTGGATGGATTCTTTGTTCAGGGCAGTCACCATCCTGGGGGATTTAAATGACCCCTACATATTTTTTTCTCAGAGGAAATTCACAGGCCTTTGGTCTATAAGAAAAAAAATAACCAAGTTACTTTGTGTCAGGGAATGTCACCTTGCACTGATCCAAGGTGAATTTCAAAGTGTGTCATGTTGCTTCGTCTCCAGTGCTTTTCAATCCATTTCAAACTGCACAAACATCGGAGTGCCAACAATAAAGGTCACAGAGTCATAGATTCCAAGGCTAGAAGGGACCATTGCGATCATCTAGTCTGACCCCCCCACTCCCCCGTATAAAGCAGGCCATAAACTGCCCCCAAATAATTCCTAGAACAGAACATAAAGAGAATCATCCAATCTCCATTTACAAATGGTCAGCTATGGAGAATCCATGGTCCTTGGTAAGCTGTGCCAATTGTTAATGACTCTCATTGTAAAAAAAAAAAAAAAAATCTTATTGCCAATCTGAATTTGTCTACCTTTGAATTCCAGCCATTGGAGCATGCTGTACCTTTCTCTGCTAGGATGAAGAACCCATTATGTAATCAGATCACCCCTTAACCTCTTTGTTAAACTAAATAGCTTGAGCTCCTTGAGCCTATCACTAGAAGGTCTGATTTCTAATCTTTTAATTATTTTTGTGTCTCTTCTCTGAGGCCCCCTCCAATTTATCAACATACTTGAAGTGTGGACAGCAGAATGGGACACTGTTCCAGAAGTGGTCTTACCAGTGCCCAATAGAAAGGTACACTAACCTTGTTACTCCCACTTGAGATTCTGCCAGTTCCTTCTCTTGAGCATTAATATAAACTGTAAGTAACAATCATTACATTCCAGTCCTGGGGAACCTGCCTGCCTGCCTGCCCCTGTTCTCAGGACTAGACTTTTATTAGGCCTCTTTCTTTTAATCACATTGCCAGCTTTTAATGCACAAAATGACATTGCCCCTCATTCAGCAGCTATTTATTATCCTTAACAGCCTTTTGTGGTGAGTCTTACAATCAAAAGCATTTGAAAATGCAAGTGAATCACATCCACTGAGAAAATCTTATTTACTATCTGACTTAACTTTTACCAAAATATGACATCACAGGTTAAAGGGCCCTTTCTCCTTTACAGGAGAGGAGTGTTCACAGCGGGGTGCGATTAACTCTCAACGGTTCTGGAATCCCAAACAATCCCTACAATCACAGGAGGAAATCCTGGCCCCCACCGAAGCCAAGGGCAAAACTGCCACTGATTTCAGGGAGGCTTAATGATCATGGAAAACTAAGGGAGAAGGGTAAAGAGGAAATAAAAAGGTCTGAATCTCCCTTCCCCAATTTTAGTTATTTACAATATTCTATAGGTCTTACAGATGAGAAAGAAGCCACAAATCTGTAAGCACACCTACTAAAGGTAGGCCACATGTAAATACTGCTAAGAGACTAAACTGTAACCTGGCCCCAGTCACAAAGGTCAATATCCTGTCACATGACAAGTATCAGTTACTAGCCAGTGGAACCCCAGCCCAGCTGTTCCTGTTGCAAACAAACCGGCTCCTATGATGTGTTATTAGTCTTACCTAGAGCAGTGACTGCGAATCCCTAAAGTACTTCCTAATTCAGGCTGGTGCAGTTAAGCAGCCCAGCTACACAAGCTGGAGTCCGGGCTCAGGGCTGGCCTTACCATAAGGCGAACTGAGGTGGCCGCCTAAGGTGCCAGATGGTGGTGAGGGAGGAGTGCCCCTAGGACCCATAGTGTAGAAAATTGTGTCTGCTGCTGGTGCATATGTATTCTTTCTGCTCTGGAGTAGAACAGGAAGAAGGCAGAATTGAGACCTTTCAAAGTTTTGTCCCAAGCGAGGGGACATGGGGGAATCATTTGAGCTCCCTGCCTCAGGTGCCAAAATGTTGTGGGCCGGCCCTGTCTGGGCTGCAGAAGAAGTGGGGGTTTGTTTCTAGAGACACACTGGAGTAGATGTGTCAGGGAGAAGCTGCGGCTTACTTCCGCGGACGGGACTACTGCAGCTCACCAAACTGAATCAGGAACTGATTTAGGGCTGCCAAGCCAAGCTTTTCAGTAAGATTAGCCCTTTAAAGAGGGGGCAGCTGGTTGCAAGTGCGGCAGTCACAGCTGTGCAGCTGTTTTGTGTTATGTTAATTAAAAGGAAATGTGGGTGTGTTTATAGCTCCGCATATTAATATTATAGCTATTTCATTACTCCTTCAGGCAGGCCGGGGACAAAGAGGGTTTTTGTTTTGGTAACTGATTGTTATTTTTAATTGCCTATAAGGGGCACAGAGAAGAAAAACTCAGAACCGAGATTTTTCTACTCTAAATAATTCAAGGCAGAATTCACAGGTACGTTCCGGCTGTTTTGTGCCTCTCCAGAGACATAAAGCAAATATAAACCTATCATTAGTCAATCTGCAAACAGGCTGTCTCACAAGATACAGTGTCGGAACATTTCCCAAACTCACTACATTGTTCCCTGGGAGCTCACTGTGTGAAATGTCATGACATTTGGTCACTACCAAATGATATTGTTCTTGAATGTACTGTACTTCATGTCACCATATTCATGCCATCACACACCAAATACACATACCGAGGTGCTCAAACTGACTCTGGGACATATTCTCATATGTACCCACAGACCAAAGTGCATCCCTCATTCTCATTCAAATTACAATGTTAATGATCAAATCAGTTCACAGGTCTTATAGCTGGAGCTGGGTAGCAAAGCAGACAGAATGCTACATCAGTGACTGTTGCCCTAGGGACGTGGACAAGCAATTGAAATAAACTGGCCAATGGTGAGGATGTAAAAGGGAGAAAGGGAGTCCCTACACAGAAG